GGTAGAGGCCGGACGCGGCGCGCGCGGGATGGTCGGGCGCCGCTGATGTCGGCCGGAGCATGAGGCAGCGTAGCCCGGTGGACGTGGATTGTTGGGTCGGCGCGTCGGGGTCAACGGTTACCACACCATTTAGAGAGGAGAGACAGGGCTGACAATTTCACTTACAAGGAAGCTTTTCATCAAAACAGCGAGACAGATGGGATGAATGGACGATGCTCTTTGCCACTCATCGGTGTCGGTGCCCCATTGCTCGGAGCTTACTCCCCGAGTCACGCTGACGCTGAGGAAGGCGTCTCTGTAGTTGAACGGAGACGACGTCTGACCACCGAATGTCGGAGAAGAAGAGGGTGTGAGCGGCATGTTTACGGTCAGCTTATACGCACACCGCGATAGAGAAAGGTCGTGGGATAATGAGAAAAGCCCAAAACAAACGGTACGAGTCAAACGCAGGTGGCCGGTCAGGACGTAGAGTAAACACACGCGTCCGGCCAGGCACGGCACACCGGGAAAGGCATGGATCAGGCCGGCCTGCCCCCCGGCTGCGGCCTGGCGGGCGGACGGCCGGGAGACAACACACACGTCCGGTCAGGTACGGCACACCGGCAAAGGCATGTATCAGGCCGGCCTGCCCCCCGGCTGCGGCCTGGCGGGCGGACGGCCGGAAGACAACACACACGTCCGGTCAGGTACGGCACACCGGCAAAGGCATGGATCAGGCCGGCCTGCCCCCCGGCTGCGGCCTGGCGGGCGGACGGCCGGGAGACAACACACACGTCCGGTCAGCACGGCACACCGGCAAAGGCACGGATCAGGCCGGCCTGCCCGTCGGCTGCGGCCTGGCGGGCGGACGGCCGGGAGACAACAGCACCCCGCCCGCCGACCTGGGGAATCGGCCGCCGCTATCCATCTCTGTGATCGATCCTGAGAACACGACAGTTGGCACCCTCGAAGGGGTTGGTCGAACAAACGCACGTACTGGTGGCCTGACCATTTCGCCACGGTCTGAGTGACTCGGCCAAGGGAATAGGCAGTGGGGTAAGGAATGCGTGTAATACAATAGCTCAATGCCCTGACCTACAAGAAAAAACGATTCACCTTACCAATTTGGGCGACACCATTCACCGGTCACGTGATCACCGGAAGTCCGCGAGGTGCACGGCGCACTGCTCAGGGGAGGGGTGTCGGATGACTGTGACTCGAGTTCGCAATGATCGGAGCATGTGCGACAGTGCGCACGCTATTCCTTCCAGAGAGCAGCCGGGTCCGCCACCGACCTTTAGCACCGGCGGGCTCGCCGGGCTCGGGCTGGCGGGGCTGCCGCAGCCAGTCCTTGACACTTAGCACCGGCGGGCTCGCTGGGCTCGGGGTGGTGGGGCTGCCACAGCCAGTCCTTGACACTTAGCATTGGCGGGCTCGCCGGCCTCGGGCTGGCGGGGCTGCCACAGCCAGTCCTTGACACTTAGCACCGGCGGGCTCGCTGGGCTCGGGGTGGTGGGGCTGCCACAGCCAGTCCTTGACACTTGGCATTGGCGGGCTCGCCGGCCTCGGGCTGGCGGGGCTGCCGCAGCCGGTCCTTGACACTTAGCACTGGCGGGCTCGCTGGGCTCAGGCTGATGGGGCTGCCACAGCCAGTCCTTGACACTTAGCACTGGCGGGCTAGCTGGGTTCGGGGTGGTGGGGGCTGCCGCAGCCAGTCTTTGACACTTAGCATTGGCGGGCTCGCTGGGCTCGGGCTGGCGGGGCTGCCACAGCCAGTCCTTGACACTTAGCACTGGCGGGCTCGCCGGGCTCGGGCTGGCGGGGCTGCCACAGCCAGTCCTTGACACTTAGCACTGGCGGGCTCGCCGGGTTCAGGCTGGCGGGCCTGCCACAGCCAGTCCTTGACACTTAGCACTGGCGGGCTAGCTGGGTTCGGGGTGGTGGGGTTGCCGCAGCCAGTCTTTGACACTGAGCACTGGCGGGCTCGCCGGGCTCGGGCTGGCGGGGCTGCCACAGCCAGTCCTTGACACTTAGCACTGGCGGGCTCGCCGGGCTCGGGATGGCGGGGCTGCCACACCTTTCTGTGTGAGGACTTTCATACTTTTGCAGGAGTGTGGCATTCGCACACGGCATGTGAGTCGTTGGGAAATTCCCGAGACCCCTCCTTGGAATCTCTACCCACCAGCGGTAGATGTCTCACTTTCCCTTTTCGAGAAGAGGCAGGTGTCTCCGGATGAGTTTCGGCTGAGGTCTTTGGAGTTGATTGCGTCCTACCCGGATCACAAGAAGACCTACACGAACGGATTCGAGAGCGGATGCCGGTGTTGGATGTGCTTTTGTCCAAGGTCCTGTTACACGGTCTTTTGCTTTGCCTGGTGACGCATCGGTCTTCACATCCGAGCTTATAGCCGTTCTTAAAGCACCCCATTTCATAGAAGTTGACAGCGACGACCAACACTTAGTTTTATCAGACTCTCTTGTAGCCTGATGGCACTGCAAGATTTAGATTCATCACATTTCATCTTTCAGAACATTTTAATTCTTCTTACTACACTGCCGCGATCCGGGAAGCAGGTGGTATTCTGCTGGATACTAAGCCACGTTGGCATATCGGGTAATGAAGCGGCTGATGCCGCAGCAAGGCGTGCCACACACGCATCTGGCACCCTTACGATGACGGTCCCCGCTAACGACCTATATGCAGTGGTATCTACCTTTATGCTGAAGCAGCGGCAAGCGAATTGGGATGTGCACGCTGCCAATAAACTGAGGGAGATAAAACCCCGGTTGGGACCATGGGCGTCCAGCTGCCAGTCCTGGGCTGGGCTACCATGGGCTGCCACAGCCAGTCCTTGACACTTAGCACCGGCGGGCTCGCTGGGCTCTGGCTGGAGTGGCTGTCACAGCCAGTTCTCGGAGTCGGCATACGAGACGTCAGTAGCATTGGATTTTTGTCAGCCAATTGCAGCCGGGTGCACCGTCCGCGGGTGCAGCCCCTTCCGGACCGGTACTACCGGGGCCGATGATATCATACCCAAGTTAATAAATACTGCAGTTAATGAAGCCAATAAGCACCAGCGCCACAGCTTTTTTACCACTTTCTGTCTGATCAGTCAATGATGATTACGCATGTCACCTGCTTGCGTTTATGTTCTGGCTTTTACTCGAATACTTATTCCGACTTACCCCGTGCATTTTACTTCAGGATCACCGGCAAGTGCAGTGGCCTTCTGCGCGGCCACAGAGCAAATTGACCTGCGCTGGGCAATGGATGAGACCTCCGTCACTGATCTGCTGCAGGTCCCCCAGGTCGCTATGACACGTCATCCCTTCCAGGTGCAGCTAGATGACGTCCTCCACCTTGTGTGCAGACTCGTGGAGAGAGGCCGGCGGGGCTGGAGACGCTGAAGGCTGACACCCGTGGCGCAGCTCAGCACACGCGAACGCTGGAGGGCTGCTAAGACGTGCTGAACGCGCTGCCGACCTGGAGGGTGCGGTAGCGGAGCTGAAGCTCGAGGTTGCTAGCCCTCAACAGCAGGTGAGCAGACTGCAGCGCTGCGCCGGGATATCGAGCAGACCGAGCCTGCTGTAACGGCTCCGCGGGCGTGTGTGGCCCCGGCTCTGCCGGCGTGTCTGGCCCCGGCTCTGCGGGCGTGTCTGGCCCCGGCTCTGCCGGCGTGTCTGGCCCGGCTCCGCGGGCGTGTCTGGCCCCGGCTCTGCCCGCGTGTCTGGCCCCGGCTCTGCCCGGCGTGTCTGGCCCCGGCTCTGCCGGCGTGTCTGGCCCCGGCTCTGCCGGCGTGTCTGGCCCCGGCTCTGCCGGCGTGTCTGGCCCCGGCTCTGCCGGCGTGTCTGGCCGCGCCTACTGCCGGTTAGGTGGACCGCCGCCACCCACGCACCGCACGTCAGCCTTTCCCTGAGCCGTGGAGGGATCGTAAATACATATTTTGCAGAGCTTGCTCTTATCTGGTTGGTAGCATGCCACGGTATTCGGGATGGAGTAAGTATTTGGACCATCGTCCTCTTCTAGTGTGTTGGGATCCACCCAGCTCCGGCCATCGCCAGGTGTTGTTGAATCCTGAAAAGAACTTGTTGGCGCTCGGCTTTCAGCCAACTAGGCCACACCTAGGGAGTAGGTCAATATAACTAGGCCACACCTAGGAGTAGTTCAACATCACTAGGTTACATCTAGGAGCATTCTAACATAACTAGGTCACACATGAGAGTAGGTCAACGTAACTAGGTCCACACGTACAGCATAACAGGTACGCATAGGGGACCTTTTAGCAAAAACCCCTTTGTTGCTATAAGGGCCATGCTTTCGGAACGAACTTTTTCAGGCTCTGCACGCTTCTAGAAACCCTACTGATGTCTTAAAGGGTCAAAAGTGCTGGGACCTTCAGGCCCTATGGGGCCTCCGCGACCTCGAAGGAGGTCATGGGACGTGGGCTAAGAACCTGCCCCGCCCCATTCCTCCTGGGTACGCCGCCATCGGACCTGCGCCATTTCCGTCCCCGTGTTGACCAACATCCGTTGGTATTATTGGCCTCACCACTGCCGTTCGCACGAGCTATCGGGCGACGCCCGCCTCACGCTCAGCCAGCTCGAGGCTCCCACCTCTGCACCGAGCCAGCTGTCGTCTCCCACGCGGCTCAGCTCGGGCACCACCGCCAGAGGACACAAGGACACTGCCGGGGGACACTGCTGTGGCGGACGTCCGGCGATGGCACGCTCCGACTCGGCCGGGCGGCGGCACCGGTCCCCGGTGCGGCGCAGCGCGGCGGCATCCGGTCGGGGCCGGCACTCTCAGGCCCGTGGGTTGCATCAGGGACGGAGAAGGACCCGGCGCCGCCGCCCGCAGAGCCGGCAGATAGCTGAGTCAACAGTGCCCCTGAGAAGCCGGCGGCAGCTGCCGATAGCATGTGATGATGGTCGAGGCCACCCTGCCCCCCGGCACATTGTTGCCAGGTCTGTTGGGTCGGCGGCGGCTCCAGTGGCGCCGGCAGAGTACCAAGAGCCCAGCCATGCGACTGCCAGTGATCCTCGTCCTCGTGTCCGGTCAGTGACTGTCCTGGAACTAAATATGTCGGGCTGGCCGGGTGCGATGAAAAAACAATTGTATATGTTGTGTACAGCTCCCACATATACTTGTGTTTTGAGTGGCGTGTCCTTTTGCACGAGCACAGCTCCCTCCTGACGCCTCAAACGCCCCAGAGTGTTCACTTTTTAACCATGCCATATCATTGATGTCCTCCACACCAGCAGAAGAAAACATGTGCCGTCGTAAAAAGCAAGGAAAGGCGCCTAGCCGATGACTATCTTGGCGACAACAATTGACCGCTGCCCTCTGCCCATATAGCGGCGCTGTGTGGCGTGCTCTCGCCACCTGAGGTCACCGCTGGTGACGGCGGCTGGAGCATCATCGACGGAGAGGTGGCGAAGAAGGGCGAGTTTCCCTGGCAGGCGCAGCTGAAACGCAACACCGTCTACGTGTGCGGCGCCGTGCTTGTGTCGGATCTGTGGCTGCTCACCGCCGCTCACTGCCTGTCGGCAGAGCCGAACCCCTCGGCTTACCAGGTGAGAGCAGTCGCCCTCAACCTCGCACCGTCCAGAGTCACCTAAGGCCGCATCAGTGAGAAGGGGGATAGACACAGCTTGTCCATTGGTACAAATGGATGCTGTAGGCTGCCAGATGAGTGATAAAATATCTCCATCGATGTCTAGAATCTAAACAGAAGTGCCGATCGACACCAGATCGAGGTCGAGGTCGAGGTCGAGGACAAAAGCCCTCTCACCATCGCGTTCTGGAGAGCAGACATATGTCAGAACCTTCGGGGAGAGGCTCCACCTCAGACCATTTGTCCAAGTACTGTGCGATGTCACCACACATCACCACACACCCCGTGAGCTTGGTGAGCAGATGTACGCGATTTCAAGATGCATCTGCTATCATTTACAAAACACTTACTATGAGACTATCAATGGGCAGAGTGGCAATGTGACCTGACCTCAGGTCTCGCAGTGCAGCATCTAGGGCCCATCTAATGACAATCCCCCACATGGACGGACATGCGTGGCAGTGGCCGCGCCAGCTTGCTGTGTAAGTTGAACTGATTTCAACATTTCGTCATGGAAGCATGCTCCTTCTGGCAGCTTTCTCCTCGCCAATTTTTGTTGACGCTCTCAACCCGTGATCACCCGTCCGAACAAACCTTTGCTACGGACCAGTTTCTGAACCTGTACTCGGTTCCGCAGCAGTTCGGACCTCAACATCCCCCTGGACTCCATCCGTGGCCGCCTGGCTCGCCGGGCCAACGTCACACGGCTGACTGTGTCCAGACGGCTGATAGCCTCCGACAGCGACCGGCCGTGCTCGGGCCGTGTTTGTTTATTGTCCGGGTCATGTTCGATCTGCGGCTGGCGCGACAATTATCACCTCGCGGCCCTCTGCATGACGCTGGTTTCTGCTCGTCGGCCACGTTCGCCTCAAACATCGGCGCCAGCTTATCCTGCGGGAAGAGGCGTGCTCGCGCAGGCCCGGCCTCCGTGCGGCGAGCGCTGCTGGCGTACTCCGCGGTGAGAGGCGTGCTCGCGCGGGTCCGGCCTCTGGGCGGCGAGCGCTGCGGCACTTCTCCTATCTATAGTTTTAATAATATAGGCTGCCCACAGCTCATACATCAAAGTGGGGTGATTCGTGCCGTCAAAATTCAGATGTTGGCTTAAGAAATAATGTTTATGAAATCCTCCCATGCTGGAACTTTTATTAATATCATCACTATATATCAGTATCACCATCATAATTACATATTGATATCACCATAATCATGTTCTCTTATGATCTTCACAGAAGAGGCTTTTCAGCACAAGCGTCACAAGTACATATCACTGTAGCTATTTATATCAAAGTTGTAAGTACTGAGTAAGAAGGACAAAACACGAAACACACCGGTGATAAGAAATGGTCCGTCTCGAAACGGCCGTTTCCTTGACGTTCCGCGCTCTGATATCCACCACTCTCTTATTTGCGTCCCAAAACCTCGACTCAATGCCAGAGTCTTAAAAAGGATGCCGATGCGCCGTGGTTAACGCGCCTGTGTTTAGCACTGTACGTCTGGGACACCAGAGGTACGCGGTTTGATTCACTGCGATGCCTTGTCCTTCTTGTCAGGGTGAGAGGCGGGCGGTGTACTGCCCTGACGACGCCAGAATGCGATTACTCTGACGTTATGGTTATTTTTGTGTGAATACGTTTACGGGGAGAGTTGCACATTTGTATGGGATGCTCAATCAAAATAACAATGTTGAATATCATTCGGTGCAGTTCACAGTCATGCCATCTTTAAGACCTAGCCTCTCTAATTTTTTAACTACATGTTCGTGAAGATGTACGGACTATTTCATGTAGACTTCTCCAAGATCACCAAGCCATTCATAACGCATCAATAACGCCATTCAAATCCCGCAATTCCATCGACCATGTGGCAATCAAGACCAAAAAAAGATTTTCCATTCGTTCATATCTGGCGTTCGTGAGCACGATTGTAAGACATTTACGGCGATCAGTCGGCCCTCAATCAATGTTGTGCAAGTTACGGTGACGTAATCAAGCAACAGCATATTGAGGAGCATAACTAAAAAACAGGGAAATTGTGTTGTCTGGAGCAGCTTTCCCACTTAAGAGAAAGTTTCGAATTTGAGCATATTAAAGCAAGCATCACATATGAAGAAGCAGGTTTTTAAAACCATTGGATTACGAGGTTAAAGGGGTTTAAGTCATACTATAGTGGAAAAAGTGTTCTAGACCACACAATTTCTGTCTAGTGAACATGCTCCTCAATGCGTCATTGCTTACGTCATTGTAACTGGCATAACATTGATTGAGAGCCAACTGGCGGCCGTTATGTCTGGAAATCGTGCTCACAAAAGCGAGATATGAACGACCCGACAATTTTGTTTGTTTACCTTGATCGTCACATGTTCAATGGAATGGACGGATTTGAATGACGTTATTGCTGCGTTATGAATGACTTGGCGACCTTGAAGTAGTCTGCACGAAAAAGCCTGCATGCACATCTTCGTGGGCGTGTTGCTTAGACACTTGTGGGGTTTAGGTCTTAAAAAGGACCGGGCTGTGAACTGCACCGAAAGATTTTTACGATGAACATTTGAGCTCAAAACCTCACACAAATATGGAATATAAGCATAAAAGCATACCAAAAGGTGAACTTATTTCATCATATCTGATGCTTGCTTCGGTATTTTCAAGTACGCAACACTCCCTTTAAGCTGCGCTGCACCGCAAGTCAGTGCAGTCACGCAGTAAAGCATGTGTGGGGAATTACAACTTTCACGAGCAGTTTTTCTTCTTTTTTTGTTTAGTAAATCAGCGTGATGCACTGTGTGCGTATCTGCATGTTGTCCGCAGGTGATACTAGGCGAATATGACGTCACGGTGGAGGAGGGCTCAGAACAGCGGCGAGGTGTGGCACAGATTGCCCTGCCCTCCGACAAGTTCAACACTCATCGCAGTAGCCTTCAGTACGACGTGAACGACATCGCGCTTCTCAAAATCGACCAGCCCGCCATCTATACACAATGGGTGAAAGCTCTGGCTCTACCGGATCCCGCGGAAGACTTCGATGGTAAGGAGGACATGCTGACAATGAAGTAAAGGTTGAACCCCCAAATCGGTCTCTTGCTGGGTGAGTAAGTGAGCAATGAACTAAAATGACTGCAATAACCAACATGAAAGCAATGGTAATGTTATTCGTCAACATTAGGGTCACGTCAGCCCTCAAGACCGTCCATAGTATCACTAGCGGGCCCACCGTGATGGACCAACACCAGGGTGTTACGCACATCAAATAATACGCTTGAGGACATCAAAATCAAACGATGTAATGTGATGCAATAAACCAAGGTCATCTAACACTATCCCCTGAATTAAATTCCAAGTTTATTTGAATTGCATCAGCTCAGCTCTGTGGACACAAGAAAGCCTACCAAGAAACAGCCAAAACGTCTTTGCGTGGTTTCCCCTACAAGTATGCCCACAGCCCCCGTGCCTTAACCTGGCCACGGTTGACCTGTCAGGCGGAGTTAAAGAGATGCTGCACAATAGTCTGCGTAGGAAACTGCAGGCACGTGTCAGGGTATGGTCCAGACTGTTTAGTTTGTTTTAGCACAGTTGGTGTGGAATATCGTCGGAGGCGGCTGTGTGTATCAATGAAGTGGCTTTAAGCCCTCGTCAGCTTCTTCGGTCTTCAAGCCTTCCACAGCATGTAGTAGCTGGCAGGGGCAGCACAGCAGGAGGGGGAGGGGAGGGGGGCAGACAAGACAGTTGCCCTCCCCCGGCCGGAAGGCAGAGGGAGCAAAATTGTGTTCCTCCTCCCCTCCAAAAAAAAATAATTGAGTGCCGCTTTTTACCAAGCCAAGCGCATTGTGGCTACTCGTAGATTGACATGGTTCAGATCTGGGTGACACCCATAACGTAGCTTTACAGTTACAAAGTGGGCTCAGAAATCCTTTTGCATCATCAAGACACCTATTTTCTGGATGCTGAGGTCATATTTATGAATGAGGAAGCCAATGCCGCAGATCGTGGGGCCTAGCGTTGTGTTCAGGAGTTCTATTTGCTGGCTTGGGTCCCCATGACAAACTAGCAGTCCCTGTTCTTGGTAAAGAGGCGCCCTATATATTCAGGTTTAATTTCTGGAACAGAAGGCTTCTTTCATGCATTAGATCGCCGCGTTTCCGGATCAGGATGCCCTATTTTGGGACAGCAAGGCCCCTTTGCCATACTCGGAGTGTTCCTTCGTGAATTGTAAGCATCATGCTTTGTATAAGGAGATCCCTCTATGTATCGGGAGGCCCTGTCCTGGAAAAGGAGATTTTTAGATCAACAAGAACCTTTGCTGGATAATTAGAGGCTCTCACTCGAAATTTGTAACTGTCTATACTTATTTTCTCGGGTATAACACCTGCAACCGTTTGATACGGCGGCACATGCTCCCGGTTGCCCTCCGCTCGAATATGACACTGCCCAGAAGGCCCCCTGCACGAAGGCCTCATTTTGTCCAGGAAGCCGCCTGGAAAATCCTGTACCCCAACTTAAAACACGTGGCGCCGAACCTGGTACTTGGTATGATTATCTCACTGATTCTACACCTGATGTGATAACGCAGTTTGAAATCGAGGCTGTGACCCGCTCATGGCCTACAACTTTCAGCTAATTCATTTTACAGCATATCTAAGCGAATGACCGGTCAAATTCAATCAGAGATCAAACTAAGTATTCGCTCTCTGTAGGTAGCTTTGCACGTTTGCGCGGCTGCACATTAGTCTTGCATTTTGTGCCTTGTCCGCTAGCACGTTAAAGCTATTACTAAACAAAGCGTAACGCGAGTTACTTTCAAGGGTGAGTGCACGGTCATATGAAGTTATTCTACAATATGCCATGACCTTAACCTTGCATGCTCTTCAACATCGACCTTCGTGTTTGAGAATGAAATGCGTACACCATAGAATATCTGTTAGCACGCGCTGGGGTGGATGGGGGGGGGAATTGACCCCTCCCCGAAGGTTTTTTTCGGAATGGTTTCCGAACGGCGCGGCGTAGCCGCGCCAAATTTTGCGCAGCTGTAAAAAATGGAACAAAAAATCGTCCGGCATGGCAAATTTAGATGCATCTTGCAAGGTTGCTGAACTAGAGCAGGTCAACGTCAGGCCATGGTTTCAGCGAAGACAATTTCTAGGGAATCGTTCAATCTGATCCACCAACAGAGTGTTAGACGAAGTCACACATCTCTGAGATGCTTTCTTAGGCAACACAACAATTGAATGAACAAATAATTTTGACTTTTAACTACACTACATTATCATGTATAAATAATATCAAAACATATATGCATATATAATATCATAAGCATACACATGTAATTACATTACATTACACAAATTTTTGAGAAAAAAATTGCATCGACACCTTTCATGGACTTCTTTGAGGTCAGAACACGTCACTGGCCTAAAATGACCCAGGTCATCACTTTATTTTTAGAAACATACTTCCCAGCGTCGTCTTTGTCACTTTTTCAAATGCAAAACTCGAAGCAGTCTTGTATGTTTTTAGTCACCGTGACCTTCAAAAGGTCAACGGAAGTCACTGACCTTAACTGAGCATGAAGTCTTTTTGCTTTGAACAGTTATCTGGGCTGCAGGGGCTCTCTGGGGACCAATCTGAAATTTGACCTTGTATGACCTTATTTGACCCAAAGGTCAGAACCTAGCAACCTCAAAATTTGACCTAAGTTAATTCATGTACAGTTCAACACACCCTGTGAATTTAGTGTTTTAGCTTCCTTGGTTCCTGAGATCTCAGCGGGGTAAAATTGCCCCCCATCGGAGTGAAGGAGTCCAGTCGGCCAACCGGGCGCGTGTTAACACGCGCCCGGGTGGCAGTTTAAACGAACACATGTTGCTCGAGCGGGCGCCAATTTGGCCCATCTTGATATCTCAAAAACTAAAATAGCCAGAGCCGCCAAATTCACACGATGGGCTGGCCTGCGTGTGAACACACTTGTGTTAAAATGTATGGTCTCTAGGTCATAACCTTGGGATGAACAGTGTCAAACAAGATCAAACTCCTAAATTTGTCTTAAGTGCCCCAGGCCTCCTTCTGCAACCACCGTGAACCTAGATACCTGTTCTAAGAAAAATTTCAATGATATTTATTTTTGGATCAGTGGCTTTGTTTGATCTGAAAATGTCAAGGTGACCAAAGGCCTACGAGATTGTTCCTATTTTGCTTTTCAAGTAAGCGACCGGTATTAAGCTGAGCTGTATGTTTTTAGAAACGAAATGTTGACTTTGGTCATTGTAGGTCCGTTGACTACTTTACCTTCCAAAAGTCCGCGGAACATGTCTGTTGCAGTATCTGAATTTAATAAATTGGGAATGAGCACCAGAAACTACGCCGTAAGGCAAGCTCTCGAGTAATGAAGCAGGGTAGTTTTGACGTCGTTCCAACCCGTAAACCTACATTTCTTTACAGACCATCATACCTGAACCTAGGCCCATGGAACTTGTAATTCTAAAGATGATTGATGTATAGCCCGAGAAACTATTTCCGAAATGTATGGCGTTACCTAACACCGGGTGTCGCATCAGCTTTAACGATTTCCTAGAAATGACCTGCGCTGATAGCTACGGCATGGCTTTAACGACCTTACAAGATACATCTGCTTCCATAACACAAGATCTCATATTAAATTGGCAGTAACCGTGCAAAGCTTGGCGTGGCTACACCCCACCTTTGGAAAACCATGGTGAAAAACCTTTAGTGCGACTGGAGCACTTAGGGTAGCTTTGAATGTATAGCCCGCGATGGCCTGGACCTTTACATTATTGAACACTAGTATTGATCCCCCACCCCACTCACCATGTTTCATATCATAATGGATTTGAGTAAAATTTAGCATTTCTTTTTATATTAAGTTCATTTAATTTTGATTCAAAATGACCTTAGGAAAGGTCACGAGCATTGATAATGCATTTGAAAAAGCAAGAAAGACCTTCAGCTCCTGGGTTTTCTGGATTATAGGTTCACAGCTCTTACGCTGAGTAAGCAACCTTCAATTACCTGTAGGTGTTGGTTAAACCATGGAAAAGGACAAACATTGGTTGCACTGGCAGGACGAGACGCCTCAAACTATGCTTTTGATCACGACTGAAAAAGATTGAGTAAGCCTAAGCAAACATGACATTTGACCATCAAAGCACCTTAAGCCAGAAAGTGATTCGAATCTGTTCAGACACGGGCACTAAAAATATGTCCAAAATGATGAATTATACGAGCTCCCGCGTTCTAACACCCGATGCACGGCTAAACGCTAAGAGCTGCACAAAATCAAAATGGCTAGGCCGGAGGGCTACCTTGACTCATATCGCGCATTAGATTAGAAATCACCAGGCGCCACGAACATTGCCTTAACCTCGCGAACGCTTTCGGGTTAAGTCAAGCTTTCTTCTTCATTGTACCCGATGATGGTGGTAAGTGATTTTAATCTGATATTCGGTATGGGTGATCGTAGCGTAATCTTCCTGCTAAGTCACCTGTGTCTCGTGCGACCCTTGGGGCTGAACTGTGTATGTTGGTGAGGGTAAGGATGTGAAAGCTCGGGTTATATAGCATTTTGTCACATGTTTAGTGAGAGTGTCTGCGCAGTCACAGCGTTTTCTGGATTAAAGCATACGTTTTGCTTAATCCTGCTAAATCTCAACCTTTTTTAATCGTGGTTGCTCGTGATCATAACCACAGCCTTAAAGGTCGAGTCCTGTCTATGCAGTCAATGTATAGTCTACAACATCGTTTAACCAGGAACTCCTCCCGTACTGGGTGTCTATAATTCAGCATAACAACCCTGAACTAATAATATCGATAGAGCATGGGATTAAAGATGTCTACATCTTTAAAACCACTCATTAAGATATGGTATGTGAGAACTGAAGATTCGTCATGGGATGACACAAGAATGAAGTGATATTCAGAATGTTTGCCTTGTAAAAGCAAACGTCAAGGTTTGAAGACAGGAGGCCGCGGGTAAACGACCCATCAGTCGGCAGCTTTTCGACACAACAATATTGCACGAGCTGGAAAATTCCACGTCGCGCATCTTTTTATCTCCAGGACAACGTTATTGGAAAGAAGCCTCGGGTCCGTACCATTGTGTGCGACTGTGCCACAGGAGCGACACACGAGCGATTGCAGATCATCTGTGCCACAGGAGCGACACACGAGCGATTGCAGATCAACTGTGCCACAGGAGCGACACACGAGCGATTGCGGATCATAGATCACAAGTGATGAGCGCACACCACAGGCGAACGACATACGAGACGGAGATACCGCAGAGAGTGGATTTTACTTCCAGTAGGGTGGAAGGTAACACTCGCTGGAGTCCATGCTTTAGGGTGTCTGTGTCCCGTATTTCGTTGGCCTATGGTGTGCACTCATCACGCGTGATCCGTGATCTGTAACCAATCGTGCGTCGCTCCTGTGGTGCAGCTGATCTGTAACTGATCGTGCGTCGCTTCTGTGGTGCAGCTGATCTGTAATCGATAGTGCGTCGCTCCTGTGGTGCAGTTGATCTGTAACCGATCGTGCGTCGCTCCTGTGGTGCAGTTGATCTGTAATCGATCGTGCGTCGCTTCTGTGGTGCAGTTGATCTGTAATCGATCGTGCGTCGCTTCTGTGGTGCAGTTGATCTGTAATCGATCGTGCGTCGCTTCTGTGGTGCAGTTGATCTGTAATCGATCGTGCGTCGCTTCTGTGGTGTAGTTGATCTGTAATTGATCGTGGGTCGCTTCTGTGGTGTAGTTGATCTGTAATTGATCGTGCGTCGCTTCTGTGGTGCAGTTGATCTGTAATCGATCGTGCGTCGCTCCTGTGGTGCAGTTGATCTGTAATCGATCGTGCGTCGCTTCTGTGGTGTAGTTGATCTGTAATTGATCGTACGTCGCTCCTGTGGTGCAGTTGATCTGTAATTGATCGTGCGTCGCTCCTGTGGTATAGGTCACACAATTACTCGCGGCCCAGACTCCTTTCAAAGGACATTGTCCTGGACGTAAGCAAGCACATAATTCATGAGTTTTATAGTTTGTGATATGTTTTTATATTGAAAAACTCACACCGAGGGCGCAGTAAGTAGAAATATGCGTCCCATTATTGACCTTATTTGATTTACCATCAGAAATTTGGCTATTGTTCTTTGCACAATCATAAGTTAAAGTCTCAGCCTTGCGCGCTATCAAATTGACCTAAGTATTCGCTTGAACTTAATGTAGCTGCAATTCGTTAAATGCCCGAGAGATGACTTAAAAAAGATAACGAGAGATAACAAAAAACTAGGTAATGATCTACCAAATATTCTGAGCCAGATACCTACCTGCGCCATTCATCAGACATTTTTTAAAAAGTAATCAGAAATCATCCTGACCGCCTGTTTAAGAGCATTCTAGTCATGGCCCAGACATGGCTTTAAATAAAACGATGAAAAACATATGATTTTGAGTACCATCTTTAGGAGTGATTTCGCCATGAATTTATGAACTTTGATGTCTGGGCCTTAAAACAGCAGTCCGGCCTCTCCATGTAAAACGTCATAGACTCAGTATAAAATTTCCCAAATTTGTGATGAGCCGCCATCACTCAGCCTCAAATTGTTGGTCTGCCCGGCTGACATGTGCTTCCCTCGGCTGCAGGGCAGATGGCGGTGGCTGTCGGCTGGGGGGCCTCTGGGTCGACAGGCGTGGGTCCAGTCTACCCCAAAGTCCTGCAGAAAATCACGATGACCTTGCTGGCTGACGACGTGTGCCTGCGCGACCTGGTCTTCTTCAACTACGTGCCGGCCACCATGAGCTGCGCGATGCCGCCAAACGGCAGCAGCCTGTGCTGGGGCGACTCTGGCGGCGCACTCACGTACTACAAGTCCGCCGACCAGCCGCTGCTGGCCGCCGTCACCTCCTGGGGCGTCGATTGCGACCTTACCCGGATGCCGACCGTGTTCGTCGAGGTGTCCGCCTTCGTGAAGTGGATCGCAGATGTGATCAGCGCGGACGTGGTGTAGGCGAGTCTAGCCTGCGGCAGCGTAGCAGGTCGGGTCGTCCCGGGCGCGAGACGGGCCGACCAGGCGAGCGGACCACCGGGCGACGACCGCCCCTGCGGGACGACCTGCCTGTCACGCACCCTTGCGGAAGGAAAGCGACATCTAGAGGGCCTCATCTCAGGCTGCCAGTTAGTCCCAGCAAAGAAGGGCCAGTGCAGCCAGCGCAGTTAAACACAGCCCGCTGGAAATATTCAGCATTCACATCCAGGCAATATATCGTGTGTCGAACGGCACCCCGCCTACATGCAATCGGATGCTCCCTTTGCAGTCCCTCTACGAACAACTGGCGACGGCTTTGCCCACCGCAGGCACTTTAATTTCTCTGGCATGATGATTAGGACGTGTTATCACCTGTTTACCGAAGCGGTTATCATTTAGCACCTCGACGAAGGTCAAACAGTTGGCAGATAACTTTCGTTGGTACGATAGGGACGTGTCAGCGTGATGTATTGAGCAATTAAGTGCCTAGAACCGTTGTGTTGAAGAATGTGGAAGCATGACGGAGGCTTCCGATGAGTTGAAGTATGCCAAAAGGCTAACTTGAAAACCTACGACTATATGCCAATGCCAGACTGTCTACGAGAATACGTGTGTCGGCTTAGGCAGAATATTTTTCTCATGATTGGAGCTATAGCTTCAAAAGGAAGGACGGCAAGGTAAGAAAGGGTAAAAGATGGAAGGCACATTTCAGACAGACTGGCTCCGAGCCAGCCGAAAAGACGGCGTCCGATACAGAACGTGACGGCTCGGCTTACCCCCCCCCCCCCCCCCCCGAGGCAAACAGGCAGAGATATTGTATTGTAGGCATAGATGCAGCTGTGCAGGCGTGGTACCTGTATAGACATGCAGAGGAATGCATGTAGTGGTCATTGTCTTAAGAGATTGCGCTTTCACTTCATTACCTAGGACTGATCTGGAACATTGGCACGCATATTTTGTAGCGAGTGATAGGAAAACTGTAATCGCGCGGCAGACGCTGCGATAACCCACAGCGTTTACGGCTCTCACGCTTACATAACGGTCGCGGATAATTCACTGCTTACAGAGGCAGGTGATTGGACCATGGAATGGGTAAATACCTCCGCTGCATTCTTCACTACTCAATGTTAACGGAAATTGAATTCGCATTAGCCTCATGTAAGCGCATGGTCCTATTTGTTGCAAAAGTGCGGCGAAAACCGATGAGCTGACATAAAACACGATTCAAAAGGTATGCTAAAGCGCTATGTCTGACACGCTTCCGCTTCGCCCTTCCTACTCATCTCGCTCTTCATTCTTAAGAAACATCTTTGGTTTTTCATCGGAAAGCAGCTTGCGCAAGGATCGCATCACGAAAGTTCCTAAACACTGCTAGCTGCTTTAGAAAGCTTCAGCAATTATCCTCTGTGAGAAATTGCATGCCATTGTCGAGCCAAACGCTGAAATTACAGCAAAGGTGGAAAAGCACGCTCTTCCTTGAGTTGGCTCACTTACACCATTCATTTGAATTTCCCTTGGTGGTCGTTATTCACAACATATCTCATAAGCCAGCGCTGAGCCGTTGCGTTATTCGATGCCGGCGCAGGGCGTGGCTAGCGTAAATACTCCAAAACTTTCATTGAGGAAGCAGAGACCTATGAATGCTGGAACCTGCTGATTGACGTCGACTCCGCGAAGGTGCCGACTGTTAGACACACGAACCGCTCATGCATGTTAATGAGTTAGCACCGACAGGGGGCACACATCCGGCTCGGAGCTGCACAAGGGTCTGGGTGGGGCGAGAGGTCCGCTTATGTCACCACGTGTTGACGATTAACCACAAGATGAAGTGTGAACAGAGACACACCACAGCAGTCAACAATGGCTCGACCGATCTCAGGGGCGCGGCTGCCAGTCCCGGCTCAGCCTCGCTGCCAGCGGCGGCTGGCCCAGGCGTCGCGGTGTCAGCTCAGGTCCGACCGACCGGCCGCTGACCCCAGTCCAGCCGGAACCCTGAGCGCCAAGTCCAGCCCACGCGAACGGAAGCGGGGTCGAGGCTGCGACAGCGCTTTGGGTCGGGGTCCGGCGCCGGAAGCAGCCCGCCGTGACGTGCCTCTGCCGATCTCTGGCCTTATCAAGGTGCGCCGCGTGCCGATAAGGAGCGGCGGCGTGGAGTCGCGGAGTGGACCTGAGACGGAGCGGGGCCGGCGCGCCGGACCAGGAGCGGGGCACGTGCAATAGCTGACCCCGGTCATCAATGGCGGCGGTGACAGAGGACGACACCGAGGGTGGTGTGCGGTACCAGCCCGTGGCCGTGGGCGAGCAGCCGGCCGATCCGAGCGGAGCCCGGCCGGCCCGGACAAGGCAGGTGAGACGGCGCCGATAGCGCGCCCCGTGCCTGCCCTCTCCCCACACCCATGGGAGAGAGCCAGGTGATGCTGCCTCTGGGCGGGGCGCTCGGCTGCAGCCGGCAGCCACTGGTGGAAAGCCCGGCATCTGTTGTTGTCCCGGTGCACGGTGTGACCGGCGGCACCGCGACGGTAATGGGCTAACTCCGCCGGTTGGTTTCAGTACTACTTCAGGAAGATTGCGCTTCGCACCATGGCCATGCTGCTCCTTCTGTGCACCATATTTGGCCTGGTCTACGTCGGTGAGTTCGTCAGCGCTTTGAGTGTCAGTACAGGCAGATCATGCTAGAAGGAATGTGCATGCATGCAGGAATGTGCACCGGCTGGTGTGAATCAGTGTAGACAAAGCGTAACAGTTGGCATCAAATGCTGCTTTATAACACACGCAGGCGCGCGCACACAGGCATGCGCTCAAAAGGGCGTCAGTCAGTTTTCATAATGAAAAGACGACTCCTAGGTATGCCCTCAGCATTCTGCGCCTGTGGGAACTCTTCTCAATTGTCACGTTGCGAGGTATCGCTAACTGCTAAGCTTGCTTGCATTGCATCTTTATCCGGCGGCTATTGTGCACGGGCCGATAAACCACGCCGCATTTGATGCTGCATGAATGCAGCATGAAAGTTATAATGCTGTCCCGTGGGCCAAGCGCAAGAATCTGATCTTAGCTTCACCCGGGACAACCGGAGCCAGAGGCCAGTAAGGGAGGCATTCATAAAGCTCTACCTTATTGATGATTTCACTCAGGATATAGGCGTTTACAGCACTGCACGTGCGCTCGGGAGTTCACCTCTGCTCAAACGTTCGGACCCTGGCCCACTGCCATCGGCAGCAAACGAATATCTCCCGGCATGGATTTGGTGACTGAAAGGCTGCATTTTGTTTAGCCACGATGATGACCACCGTCCAGCCGCGGAAACATGGCAGTCTCACGCCGAACAGCGCTGCTCTCGCCCTAGATGCTCTCGCACGCTGTACGATTCACGTCCGCCCCGTGGGCGACAGAGGGACCGCCTCTCTGGATACAGCCGGCCGCGGTGACGCCAGCCGGCTGTGTGCGCCGTTGCAGTGGCGACGGTGCATGACCCGGCGCCAGAGCTGGCCCTGCCGCCAGTCGTGCGGCCCTGGGACGCGCCGCCAGAGAGGCCCATCCGCGTACCCGGTCTGCACAGCCACGGCAGTCACGGCAGCCACGGCACTCTCGGCATCATGAACGGCGGCGCCGCCAAGCCCGGTCAGTGAGCAGTGGTCAGTGTCGGTAGTCATGAATCTCAGTTGTCGGTGTCGGTGTCGATGTCAGTGTCAGCCAGCGATGTCAATGAGATCACTGACTCCTGACGGTGGTCAGGAGACAGTGGTCAGGAGTCAGTGGTCGGGGACCAGTGGTCAACGGTCGGTGGTCATTCGGGGGTTCGAGGCCAGAGGTTAGGGAGTCAGGAACCGGTAATATACAATTAATGGGCAGCGATGACTGGTTGTAAACTTCGGGCCTGGGTACGTCCGTATGGAATGGAAGGGTGTCAATCCTTGCGTGCGTATCCAGCTGATGGCACAACAGGCAGAAGATGGACGCAACTGCACGCTCAGGTGAATGTAGTATTGCATGTGTCGAACTGGCGACTTATTTAAAAGCATATGTACACTTATGCGTAATAATTGGCATAGTTAGCACAAATGTGGCACCCGTGGGTGCTCGCAGGCCATGGGCGAAAAGAATGTGCAGTAAGAATGTATCACTTAAGATATAGAAAGCTCTGCGCTGCAATAGATGTTTTCTGTTAATCCGCTAAACCAGATTGCATCCAAACGAGCCTGTTTAGCGCAGCTTGACGTTAAATAGACAACAACCGGTTACGGTGGCAGTCCGGACAGAGCGCTCATGCCACCGGCCAATAGCGCCTTCCAGGATTGGCTAGCATCAAGCCCTGAGGTGCGGAGAGTCTGACTCAGGGCCCAGTCCGTACCGGGCTCCTCCGTACCAAGCTCCTCCGTACCAAGCTCCTCCGTACCGGGCTCCTCCGTACCGAGCTCCTCCGTGCCGAGCTCCTCCGTGCCAAGCTCCTCCGTACCGGGCTCCTCCGTACCGAGCTCCCCCGTACCGAGCTCTTCCGTACCGAGCTCCTCCGTACCGAGCTCCTCCGTGCCGAGCTCCTCCGTACCGAGCTCCCCCGTGCCTAGCTCCTCCGCACCGAGCTCCTCCGTACCGAGCTCCTCCGTGCCGAGCTCCTCCGTGCCGAGCTCCTCCATACCGGGCTCCTCCGTGCCGAGCTCCTCCGTACCGAGCTCCTCCATACCGAGCTCCACACTTAACCGGGGCTGTGTTCTACGAAACCAGATCGATCCGTAAGTTTGTCAGTTGTTTGTCGGGGTATTTCTGGGGCCTGGTCGCTTTAGCCTCTTCAGTTTACAGCAGGCCGGTACTGTTCTGAAGGACCAGGTTACATGAGCTCTTGATCCTCACCTTGATAGGCGGAGAGGGTTTGATGCGACCCCCTCGCCCCAAGGCTCATTAAGGATGCTTTTCCTCCGATATGCTGCACAGCCGTCCAATCTTCAGTAACGAATGGGGCATCCATTGCGGTGCGTGTTTTAGAAGGC